TAACTATTTTTCACTTAAGTTTATTGATTTTTTAAGTGATTAAAATCTTGTTTAAGATATGATGAACATGAAAAGATTAAGTTTTTAATCAAGTTATTTTCTTTCTACATAAAATTTGATTGTGTAGGATTTTATTTTTGTGTAGAATTTTATTTCTACCACAACAAAATACAATTTTTATGTGGAATTTAATTTTTTGATGGTTTGAGGGAATTTTGGTATATACTTATACCAATTTCCTCTGTTTTCCATTCAATTTTTTTTAATAGAGGTAATTTCTTAATTTTGTCACTTTTTTCTCAACTAACTACTATTTTGATTTTTACACATAATGTTCTTCATGTGCAACCTTTTAACAATTTATGCTTTATTTATAGAAATACAAATTGAAGTTAAATTTCTTGAAATTGAAAGAGATTGAATGGACAAACTTGAAAAGTTCAAAGAAGTTTCAAATCCCCGTTTAGCTACTCCATGTTGTGGTTGCATTTTTCCTTTTTAGAATTGTAAGAATTCTATAAGATTTCATAATTGACGGTTCTTTTCCTTGAGGAGTAATGTAATCTAGATTGTAAGTTCTATATATAATTGTTGTTTTACCATTCTTTTGTTATAAATATTAATTAAGTTATATAAATATATAAATAACCATACAAAATCCAAATAAGGAGAAAATATAGAGAAAGCTTTCCTCTCAACCCAATAACCCCTAATGATAAAGTTTTAGTTAGTATTGAACAACATTTATAATAAGAGATAGATTTACTTACAGTTAAATCCTCAATTTAGTCTTTAAACTATTGTACAGACCCCCGATTTAGTTTCTGAACTAAAAAAATCCCTGATTTGGTCCCTGAACTATTGTACGGACTGCTGATTTAGTCCTTACTATTTACCAATTTGCCCCAAATTAGTCCTTCCGTACAAAACAAAAGCTGACGTGTCTAGTATTTAACAGCGAAAAACAGTAACTTAATGGCAGAAAACAGTAACTTAATGGCCACATATCATGTGAATAACGAAATACGTCAACTATTTTTGTATAGAAAGACCAATTTGGGGCAAATTGGTAAACAATGGGGACCAAATTGAGGACCCGTACAATAGTTCAGGAATCAAATTAGGGATTTTTTTAGTTCAGGAACCAAATCAGGGGTCCGTACGATAGTTCAACTTGGGGCAAATTGGTAAAAATGGGGACCAAATCGGGGATCCGCACAATAGTTCAGGGATCAAATTAGGGATTTTTTTAGTTCATAAACCAAATCATGGGTTTGTACGATAGTTCAGGGACCAAATTGGGGATTTAACCATTTACTTATACATAAATTTTATACACGTTACACTTAACTATTTATTTTTTCACTTATAATAATTAAGTTCTATCATGATTTTTTAAATGAAAAAAATAATTATCTTTAATAAATATAAATAAATCTCAATTATTAATAGTAAAGAGATAAAT